ATGGTGGAAATGGGGATTTTCAATGCTTTAGCAATTTTCTTACAGACACTTTCTATTTTGTGAAGCTCAACAATCTTTTGCTGCACATCAGAACTATATTCTTTGGTTTTTACTCCTTGTGAAGGATGATCAAGGGAATTTCGCCTTTGTGTTTCCTCATATTTATACTCCTGTGGAACAAGAAGTCATGGCTTGACAATTTCATGTTCCTACAGTAGTCTCCCTGGTGTTTAAAAAAAAAAAGTAAATGAATTTATTCTCATAAAAAAATCTAGGGGTGCCAATAATTTTGGCCAACGTGTTTTGGAGAAAAAACATTTATGTGTTTTTCCCCCCACTTTCAATTATTTTACTTAAATGAAAGGTTAGATTTTTGTGAATATTTTTGTTGAAATATCAAAAGGATAAACCATGCAGATTTATTTTTACAGCCAACTTCGATCATATTCACCAAGGGTGCCAATAATTTTGAACACAACTGTGTATACAGTTGTGTTCAAAATTATTGGCACCCTTGGTGAATATGATCGAAGTTGGCTGTAAAAATAAATCTGCATGGTTTATCCTTTTGATATTTCAACAAAAATATATATATGACAATAATAAGAACACTCTACCGCACTACTTCCTGCTATCTACCTGCACCTACCAGGCTGTGCATGGACCTTGGGTTGAAGTGGAATATATATATATATATATATATATATATATATATTGTGTGAGAGTATAGCAGCTATCACTACTCCTGTTCTTTCTTAAACCAGTCAATTTCTCCACTGGGCATTAGATCAGAGGCAGGTGCTTCCTGAAACCTTTGCAAACAACTTTCATCCATCTCAATGGGAAACATCTGCCATTTAACAAGAAAACAAAATTAATTTAAGATGGCCTGATTGTGTATGCATAAGTATATGTCTATTACATAATGTGAATTGTAAAGACATAGATGAACCATTTTGTAGATAGTTATATCAAAGGAGGGGCCATCAGACAACATCAAAGACAAACAGAAATTGACACTTTCTGGGGACATCATAGTAGAAATCAATACAATTTATTTGAAGTATTTGTTCTTTTAAATGCCACAGCAAAAACGTTAGAAGACTGAACATCAAGGAGGGAGAATCAGTTTGATTCCCACATAGAAAACAAGTCTTTGCATAAGCCTTAGTTAGACATGTATTTAAGTTAACAATAAGTTAATTAAAATCATTATTAGATGGTGAAATTGTATATCTAATATAGAAGAGAGATGGAGATCTATTCCATGATAATATACATTGCTAATCCATATCTATGTCTTTTTCTCTGTGTCCTTGACGGTGAATCAGAGCACATCTGTGTGTCCTTGAGTAATTTGTCTTGCTCTCAGCTGAAGCCTTTACCTCAGTTTATCTATATCCAAGCACAGAGTAAATTCGAAATTTGCTCACTCACCTGAGAGAGTGTACTAATAATCATCTCTTGTAATTATGGATGCCAGATCATTTTTAATTCAAACATTCTCTAAATTTGGCCTCTGGCCCCTCTAAATTCCACTGTTTCATTTTGTTATTGATTGGGCTTCAATCATGTGTGGCCGATAGAAATGAATAAATTATAAGAAAAATGATGTTGGCTAAGTGAGGCAGCCTCTTTTTCTTAGCTGTTGATATCATGAAATGACAGCTGTGAAAATGGCACATGCAGGTAAAATAATATCTGTGTCACTTCACAATGCTTGTCTTTTTAATTGATAGAAATGTGTCAGTTTGTTTTCATTACGCCATACAAATTTATATAAAATGTATCTGCAAGGCTCTAATCAGATTATTACTATTATTATAGCAAAACAAACTGATATAGCCATCCTGCTCTGAATCATGTGAATGAACTGTGTATAAAATGGATTTATAATATCACACAGTTTGATATATTTTGCCAAACTGAAGGCAGAAAAATGGTTAAATGTATTAATAATGTTTTTATGAAAGTCCTAATGGATGTTACATCTGACTGAAGACAGAGACTGAGTCGCTGAGACACTTTTGGGAAGGGATGGAAAATTCTGGATTGTCCTTAAAATTACTATGCTCTAAGTAATTTTGTATAAGCGCTAATCTCTTCTAAATCAAAGTTACTTAGTAAATAGGTGAGAGAAACAAATAAAGAGATTTCACCAGATGGATGAATGACAAGGTGGATGTGAGGAAACTTTTCATATCAGTGACCTGACCCATGTTCAAAAAAGTCTGCATTACTTTAGTATGATTGTAGCATTTCCCTATTCGAAATATAGAGGTTTATACAAAATAGTAATGCATTGTTGTGAGCCAGTCATCTCACATCTCTATGATGATGACACAACATTATCTCAGACAATAATCTCAGGGTTAACCAAACACGTTTCCCCGTCCATCACATTGTACATGCCATTCACTATAAGCTCCACAAAGCAGTGTTTGCATGTGTTTAAGCACTGCACAAACATCTATACTGATTTGTCTCCTATTAGCCTAATGTAATTTCTCCAGGCCTGCTTTGTTCATCTATGATGCTCCATTTCACACAATATTAATATTTTAACTTTCTTTGCATTTCTTTCCAATATTCCAGCTTTAATGAAATAAGTGGTTAATAGCAGTTTTCCCTTGGCAGGGAAAGGGAAAACTGCTATTAACCACTTATTTCATTAAAGCTGGAATATTTCAAGAGGTATTTATACAGACACTTAAATAACTTGGCAGCATGAATGGACAGAACGAATGCAAATCTATAATAACTGTAAATCTGGTTTAGGTCATGGGGGCTAACGGTTGACACTGTGACATCAATCAATGGGGTTTTCATTCAAAAATGTTACCGTCATTGTGAGTCACTCATGTCATTAGGGAAAATCCACCTACGGCATCTAACGGTTCTCATGAAACACGTGATATTTACATAGTGATTCTGCCTGCTGCATTCAGACTTTTTTAAATGCATATCAAAGAACCGACTGTGGTGATCAAAGGCGTGGAAAAAAAATATTTTATTGGTAAACAATTACAACACAGATGGATATAGAACATCAAGACAATATGAGGCTAATAGCACATCAAAAGACAAACTGAATTACACACTGATTCATGTCAGAGAGAAAGAGAGAGGGGGGAAGAGAAACAGGTGAAGAACAGATCACAAGCTATAGATGAAAGCGTACGAGGAAGGGGGGCTAAAAAGGACCAATGTCACATAAACAGTGGCTGAAGAGCTGACGCTGCCTTGTTTTTATCCACCATCCTGTGTAAATATTAGGTAAAATAACCAAACAATATTGTCCCACTCTGTCCCTCTTTGCTAATGCAAATTGATTGCAAAAACCGACTTCAACCACTAACTCACAATTCGGCCCGTCCCACTGGAGAATCTGAAACTCTGTAAAGTCTTCAGCACAGAGATTACACCCAATGTGTCAGTAAGTGCCCATTGCACCGTGGTCCAGTTTAATACAATAGGCTCATCGCCCACTTTTCACTTCCCTCCATAAAAAAGTGCATTGTTGTCTTACCATTGGCATTAGATGGCAAGCCATGTGGTCAGTGGGAGCCGACCCAGCTGCTGACACAGTGCTGGCTCGAACAGTGCTCAGTATTTGATGAAGGGAACACAGAGCACAAAGCAGCTCTTTCCCTACAGTGTTTAACATATTTCAGGGAAGGGGAAAAAACTAAATCCAGGTGTAAAGTATATAAAAGGCAATAGCTGCAAGATTTGCAGCTGTGTGGTTTTGAGGTTTGTACAGTTGAGACAAACTCAGCAAGCAAGTATAGGGTGCATGATAAGAAAATACTCATCAGGTCCGTGGAACTGCTGTGACTATAGCTGATGAGAATAGATGAAACACATACAGTTCATTTAACAGACAGTGACCTGTTGTCTCACTATATGGAGTAAGTTGTCACAATTGAACCTGCTAGTAAACCTGCTAGATACAGTACAAATCATTGTTTTGGTCAAATATTAACCTGTAATTGATAGATTATATAAATGTATAACATTTAAAACCAAAATGACCAATAAACAATGTGACAACTTGCCCCAATATGTTATTTATGAAAAATAACCTTGTCCTGAGAACAAAGTAATTACATTATAGTTAACTAAAAGACTGAATGTAAGTCTGAACATAGTGTGGTTTTATTTTACCCAACATCTAGCAAAAATCTTTTGTTGTTTTTGAGAACAGAATTTATTACAAAAAAAAAGAAGCTTTTGAACTACTAGATGTTGGAAACCACCATACCAAATTACTGCTAGAGAAAACAAATATTTGTGTAATTGGACTTTTGACACAAAACCGGTGATTCCTAGGCTACACCTTGTGACAACTATTACACTATAGCCCCGCTCTCCACTATAGGCCTAGAATTTACGGCGCATCTCGTTATATTTATATCTCATTATATTTAGCTGGATTAACGTATTAATAATAAAATTAATGAATTATATTAATATATTTAAATTAATTTTAAGTTACCTCACTGCCCCTGGAGGATCACTGGGGCCCCCTAGTGGGCCGCGTCCCCACCGGTTGAGAACCGCTGTTTTAATCTCTCTCGTTCCATGTCTCTCTCTCTCTCTCTCTCTCTCTCTCTCTCTCTCTCTCTCTCTCTCTCTCTCTCTCTCTCTCTCTCTCTCTCTCTCTCTCTCTCAATGCATGGACTTCATACTAGCTATACTGTTCACCATTAAAACTATGCATGACTAGTAATGAACAACGCATTAGTGATGAAAAAGAAAGAAAAAAGAAAACAAATTAAATCGAGCCGACTCCCATCGTTCACTTAAATGAGCCGAGCCGAGTCCGACTCGTTCGCGAACGACTCATCACTGAAACAGCTGCGTTCCAGTTTCTCTCTCTCTCTCTCTCTCTCTCTCTCTCTCTCTCTCTCTCTCTCTCTCTCTCTCTCTCTCTCTCTCTCTCTCTCTCTCTCTCTCTCTCTCTCTCTCTCTCTCACACACACACACTGCGTTCACTTCCTTACTTTCACCCCCCTCCCTCTCGCGCTCTCTCCTCCTCTACATCCTCAATCTCTCTCAGCAGCAGCAGTTTGTGTCCTGAGAGAACTGGCACCAAACTGACGCATCCATGGGGCGCGCGCAGCATCTTTATTTCACCACATTACAATTTGAAGTCATATAGTGGAATATTCACGCCAACGCAACAAGCACACGTCAGTCGTTCGGCGTTTAATCTTCAGGCTTAAAACTCTCAGTCTCTCCATATCTGTCTGTATTTGTTACATTTGTAGCTGTGTCGAGCTGTGGTGATGGATGGGGATGCGTGTGTTCGCGTGTGGACTCGACCGCTGCAAGTGATGCTCCAGCAGAAGAAGATCAAAGCGCGGAGGAAAAAGCGCAAGGAGTTGTTCGGGGGACAGATGTGCTTCATCGGGCTGCTGCTGCTGGCGGTGTCCGGCTTGTCTAGTTTGGCCGAGAAATCCGGTGAGTTTCGGTTCAGTATTTGTCTGGAATGTGTGTTTGTGAAAGCGGAGGGGGGCAATGGAAAGTTTTACGGGAGAATCATACTCGCACTCGAAACTGTTTTATTAGAGAACCGTACTCGCAACATTGCACCGACTTTTAAAGGGAAACATGCAGAATCACTCTTAACTGTTCCATAATGGATGTATTTCTGAAACAGTTAAAAGTTTACAGAATTCCGCTACACAACTGTTTTAGATAAGCATGCTTAAAGAGTCACACTATTAACCATTTTAGCCGTACTTAAGACTTAAATATTTGAATGAACCGTAGGCTACTTATAACATTTTGGTGAATCGTAATGACACTAGCTATAAACTGTTTTAGAGAGCCAAACTTAACAGTTAGAGAACTGTTTATCATATTAACCATTCTAGACAGCTGTATACTCACACTTTTAACTGTTACAGTGCTCCGCACTCTTACAATGAACTGTCTTAGACAAGCGACTGTTAAAGAACCATACCATATTTACAATGTTAACCGTTTCGGAGAGAACCATAGCTACTACTAACACTATAAAATGTTTTACTCAAACTATACTGTACTATTAACAGCTGAACTCACACTATTAACCGTTTAGAGAGGTGTAGGCCTACTTAAAACCGTAGGCTACTTGTTACTGTTAACCATTCAAGTAGTGAACACTACAATTAGGCCTAATCGTTTTAGAGAGGTGTTTATGCTGACTATTTTAAAGAGTCATATTCTTGCCATTTTGGAAATTCGTGTTAGAACTATAAACTAGAGATATCTCAACCATTTTATAAAACCTACTCTACAATTAACAATTGTAGACAGCCAGTTACTCTAATAATCATTTTAGAGAGCCATACTCAAGACTTAAAGAACCTTACTCACAATATTAACTATTTTGAGAAGCCTCGTACTAGCACTAAAATCAATTTGAGACAGCCATAATCAAACAATTAACTCTTGAGACATCTGTACAATTATTATTATTATTGTTTTAGAAGATAATCATGCTTACACTTAAATGTTACTGTGATTTAGATACATTTTTGTCATAAATACAATTGTGCTAGTGTTACAGTACGTACTTGTGATGTTGATGTACTGAGTAAAGTGTTTTTAACATCTGTGTTTAATAATAGGTTGATCTGTCGCAGGGCAGTTTTCTCCCACAATGCTGATAAAGTTTGGGTTCTTCAAACACTGAAGGAGTTCTTTAGAGCTGAACATAACTGACCCAGGGATCCTTGATGATCTCAGTCATCTCTATATATTATATAACACAATGTGCATCACTAATTTGTTAAAACTTGAGTCAGGACAATGTGGCAGTTAATCTCAGAGACATTAACAGTGAATGTACCTTTTTTCACAGGCTTGCTTGTTAAAAGCATTTCTACCACTCATGTTTACATTATAGCGACATTGTAGGACTTGCATGAAGTTGTCTCCTTAAAAGTTGGCAAATATTGGCATAGGGGCTTTTCTCATCAGATGGTCTAGTTTTGTCCGCTCCCTGATCCATGATACCGTGCAATCTGAATCCGTCCACACACACTCCATCTGTCCATTCGTATCTGTGCAACTCAGCACAAAAATAATGACTCTTCATAATAATCTTACTATTAAATATATCCCCTTTGAAAACCATTCAGGATGTGTACATCTGTCATATACCCTGAAATACAAAACAAAAGATATTTTCATAGAATGCTCTGCATGTTCACTTAAGGGCACCACATTTAAAGATAATCTTGTTGTATAACATAATCTTGACAGCTCTGTGTACATTACATTAAAAGGGTCATTTAATTCTATTTTCAAAGATCGTTATTGTGTGTAATAGAATATGTTAATATGCTTTAATGTTCAAAAAATACATTATTTTTCACGTACTGTTCATTATTGTAGCTCCTCTATGCCCAGTCTTTCTAAAACATGTCAATTTCTACAAAGACCCTCCTTCCGAAAAGCCCAGTGTGCTCTGATTGGCCAGCTGGCCCAGTGTGTTGTGATTGGCCGAACACCTCAAGCGTGTGTGGAAAATGTAACACCCCTTAGCATAATCGCAAGCTTCAGCTTCTTAAGCAATTAAAGACAGGTAACAATGTCATCAGTTTTACCATATCAGTTTGAGCCCGAGTCATATTCTGAAAATGCAGATGACCAAGCCGATCGATCTGAACCTGATACTCGTCTGTATTTACAGTACACAAGCCGCGGTTCAGCTGACAAATGCCGCCAGTGTGAAAGCACAATGGGTGTGTGCTGCTTCAGCTAGTGTAAAACAGAACACGTAGTGCACCTATGTTTGTCATCTTTATACCACAAGTTATAAGCGGAGAACAGAGAATGCTACGTTTGCAAACATAAATCCATCTCTGCAATTTTGATCGTAAGAACGACAAACAATATGCGTTACTCTACACTGCACAAAACTCTGCATTTGAACAGTCAATAGCAAATACTGTACTTTAACATATAATAAAACATACTTACAGGCTCTGATTCAGAAGCGCCAGATTGCCCTAGCTAAGTTGAAATTGACCCATTTTTTTTTAGAAATAGCCTTTTGTGCACAGCCGGCCTTGTGATCTGCCAGGTTCAGGAACCTCTCCTGCGTAAAATGCGCTGCACCAAAGTCCTTTTAGGCAAGTCATGCCACTCGGCCGCCATCTTGGCAACGCCTCCGGGCAGCTATTTCGGACTAACAAGACCAGGCTCCTATCTAAATGAATGGGCAGAATGTCAGAACTGCAGTTTCACTGGTCATAAACACTGGACATAAAAACTGCATGTATAGAAACAGCAGTAAAATATGATAAAAATCGCTGAAAAAGTTTGATGACTTTGCCCCAAAATAAGGTTTAAAACGCCTTTTCCCCCACAGGTTATACTTTTACTACGCATGCGCAAGGGTTCTCTCCCTCTGTCGTCCGCGCGCTACACAGTTTGAAGCACAGTACAGGTCCTTCTCAAAAAATTAGCATATTGTGATAAAGTTCATTATTTTCCATAATGTAATGATAAAAATTAAACTTTCATATATTTTAGATTCATTGCACACCAACTGAAATATTTCAGGTCTTTTATTGTTTTAATACTGATGATTTTGGCATACAGCTCATGAAAACCCAAAATTCCTATCTCAAAAAATTAGCATATCATGAAAAGGGTCTCTAAACGAGCTATTAACCTAATCATCTGAATCAACTAATTAACTCTAAACAACTGCAAAATATTCCTGAGGCTTTTAAAAACTCCCAGCCTGTTTCATTACTCAAAACCGCAATCATGGGTAAGACTGCCGACCTGACTGCTGTCCAGAAGGCCATCATGACACCCTCAAGCAAGAGGGTAAGACACAGAAAGAAATTTCTGAACAAATAGGGTGTTCCCAGAGTGCTGTATCAAGGCACCTCAGTGGGAAGTCTGTGGGAAGGAAAAAGTGTGGCAAAAAACGCTGCACAACGAGAAGAGGTGACCGGACCCTGAGGAAGATTGTGGAGAAGGACCGATTCCAGATCTTGGGGGACCTGCGGAAGCAGTGGACTGAGTCTGGAGTAGAAACATCCATAGCCACCGTGCACAGGCGTGTGCAGGAAATGGGCTACAGGTGCCGCATTCCCCAGGTCAAGCCACTTTTGAACCAGAAACAGCGGCAGAAGCGCCTGACCTGGGCTACAGAGAAGCAGCACTGGACTGTTGCTCAGTTTTGCATGTCATTCGGAAATCAAGGTGCCAGAGTCTGGAGGAAGACTGGGGAGAAGGAAATGCCAAAATGCCTGAAGTCCAGTGTCAAGTACCCACAGTCAGTGATGGTCTGGGGTGCCATGTCAGCTGCTGGTGTTGGTGCACTGTGTTTTATCAAGGGCAGGGTCAATGCAGCTAGCTATCAGGAGATTTTGGAGCACTTCATGCTTCCATCTGCTGAAAAGCTTTATGGAGATGAAGATTTCATTTTTCAGCACGACCTAGCACCTGCTCACAGTGTCAAAACCACTGGTAAATGGTTTACTGACCATGGTATTACTGTGCTCAATTGGCCTGCCAACTCTCCTGACCTGAACCCCATAGAGAATCTGTGGGATATTGTGAAGAGAAAGTTGAGAGACGCAAGACCCAACACTCAGGATGAGCTTAAGGCCGCTATCGAAGCATCCTGGGCCTCCATAACACCTCAGCAGTGCCACAGGCTGATTGCCTCCATGCTAGTGTTGTCAAAAATATCGATATTTCGATAAATATCGATACTGAAATATCTGAACGGTACCAATACTAATTTCCCGAAGTATCGATACTAGCCGAGCAGTCACTTTCACTTCTCTCAAAAGGCGCGTTGACAAACACCACACGTGACGCACTCTTCTCTTTCGCTCTGGTTAAATAGCAAAAGTGAAGTGAATGGAAAGATGGCGAGGGCGGCGCCCCCGCGACCGGCTTTGGTTGATTGATAAAGAACACCACGAGCGGGCATGTCGGAGAATAGCGTGGACACGCGTAAAAAACACACCGCGAGCGGGCATGTCGGAGTCGGAGAATAGCGCGGACAAGAGCTACACACCGCGAGCGGGTATGTCGGAGTCGGAGAATAGCGCGGACACGCGCTACACACCGCGAGCGGGCATGTAGGAGAATAGCGCGGACACGCGAGCGGGCTGTGGGCACCCAACAGATTGTTTGACTATCAATAATCCCTCACATCACTCATTTTTAAAAATTAATGTATAGGTGAAAACAGACTTAAGGAACAGGCTCCAGGGGTAGGCTACTATTTAGCAGCATATGCTCAGCATCAGGGGTGTTTGTTGTTTGGACAGACCTGCCCCCACTGCTAAAAAAAATATCCTCAAGGAAACACTGTAACTCTTCCCATTTGAACTTTTCTGAAACATTAACCAAGATGGCCTAGTTTTGTTGTTGATAAGAGTCTGTGTTGTCTCGTTTTAATTCTTAAAGTTAACATAATCTGACTGAGGAATCTTAGA